ACTTAAAAGCTATCTGAACAATCTCATCAAAACCTAGAACGCCAAGTTATTTCCGAACCAGTAGTATGCATAGAATCTTGGCATTTTAAACAGCGTTTCCTATGCAGTTGCTGTGCTACACTCAATAACGTCACCAGAGTGCACTCAGGAGACAGGAGATCTGACTGCATGGTCTCCAAATAGATCATGTTAAAGGATTTATTGCAAAAAATTCTGCTTAGGTAATTATTTTCCATTACAAAATAGGGAAGTATTTCAAAGGATAAGTGCAGAATAATGTAAAGTAAACTTCCCCCTCTAGAATTCCTTCCCTTTTCAACCTAATTGTTTTCTTAGCTCGTGATGAAAATTATCAAGTGACTGAAATTGAAATTCAAATTTTACTAGTCAGCAATTCTATTACAACCTCAAAAGTACCAATCAGCCCTTTTTCCGCCAATAATTTTCTGATGCTGCGCAAAATCAAATATTCTGTTTGTTAAATTCTGAGCGAACAATTATTGTAAGTAGCAGAAGACAACTGCTCTGTTGCAATTCAATTGGTCTTAATTTTTTTAAACCAAGACTGGAAACTATTCTAGCCCAATGACTACCAGAAGTGCTAACTGTACATATATAATAATGATCTTTGGATTTGGTATAGCACTTTTCACATCTTCTGGACGTCTCAAAGCGCTTCACACGATATATTGCAAAATGTATTGACTGTATATTTGTGGGGGAAACGTGGTGGCCAACTGCGCGCAGCAGTGTCCCACAAACAGTCGTGACCAATTTGTTATTTTTTTCCCCCCCAGAGGGATTATTATCAGGCTTCTGGAGTAAGGAAACTTGTCCAATGTTTCGCCCTGCCGGGAATCAAATCCAGGTCTCTCGCTTGCAGGATTTAGCTGAGCAAGATACAATACTGCATTTGATTAATATATTGCCTCCATTTTGAACCTATAGAACGACTCCCTTATCCACCCGCCAGCTTTAAAAAATGCTTCTGTTTTTGTTAGCATAAAAAGGAAACCTATTTATTTTAGCATGTCCCTATGCGTTTTTCACCATACACTTTCCCACCTTTCCATTCTAATTTCACTTATGGTTCAGTTTCACCAATCAAATAAATGGCAATATCACTGCCAATGTGCAGTTGTTCTTTTAATGCTCTGTATACTTCCCCAAATTCCTGTTCAAGGACAAATTCTGTACTATATGATGTGCATGTTCGATCATATTATAAGTGCAGCATTTCAAAAAAGAGTTATTGACATCAGGCATTCTGAAAATCTAAGTTTACTGCTGGAACGCACAACAAACCAAGCTAATCGTGTAACAAGGCGTAGCAGAGGACAAGACACAAATCCTAACATATCTGTGAGGCATTAGCATCTGAATATTACATCATTCTCAGCAGATGAATGACCTACATCGGTACCTGTCCCTAAGTAATGGTGGTAGAAGTCAGAAATGGCCAAAATCAGTCCAAATCAACATTCAGGCATAAATTAGTTGGAAGCTTCATCAAGTTTCCACTTACCTGGCTAATAGGACACAGCATAAACAATATATGCAGTCAGATCCAATTATAACACAGTGGTTTGGTCCATAAAAATCAGACCTGTGTTTTAACGAGGCAAGTCAATGTTTCCGGTCAGCCAAGTTTCCATTGACACCACTTCCTGGAAGCTGGCAACCGTTCTGCTAGAAACCAGGAGGCCTTCTGTGCTCAAGTATTATATAATAATCCTTAGATTAGTAGCACCTTTCACATCAGGAGGATCTCTCAAAGCACTTTGCAGGATTTACTGTGAAGCGTGTATTTTGTAGCCAAAACAGCTAATTTGGGGACAGCAATGTCCCACAAACAGTCATGAAGTGAATGAACAATTTTCTTTGGGGGAATATTGACCAGATGACTAAGTACAGAAAGCTGAGCTATTAGTAACCCAGAAGTGTACCGCATTACTATTCTACCACAGTGTTTTGGTAGACACATTGCTATAAATAGACCCACACTATAGCAGGATATGTTAGTTATTATTCTACTTGACTTGGGTGTGGTCCCTGAAACATCTACAGTACCTTCCCAAAGTCTAAGATATTTATATGCGACTCAACAATGCGTCAGCAGCTTATTCAACTGTGAGGGTCATTCTAGCCAAGCATGATTTAGTGTTCATTTTATCGACTGAGTAAAGATTGCTCCACTGGGATTCAAACGCAAAATGTTGTTGTCCCAGTAGAATAGACTGGCAAAACAGGCTCGAGGGGCTGAATGGCCTTCTCCTGTTACTATGTTCCAAAACCTTCTTTGCTCAACTGACTGCGATGGGCACTTCCACTCCGATGGATTATTTCAGTTGAGAGAAACGATCGCTTTTGCAATCCCTACTACCAGGACATGCTTGGCATACGAATTGACATCAGTCTGAATAAATATTAAAGTACTAATTTCGAGAAGTGCATTAGCATGGGGCTTTGAAACGTTTCATGTTCTATTAGCAAGAGGTTATTCTGTCCTTTTTACATATATTCAAAAAACTAATAGAATGAGGGCTAAAATAAACTGCTAGATATCGGTTTATCAGACATCTTGAGCAAAGTTGGCCATTTCAATTTCTCTATATTGAACAAGCTATTCAACAATAATTCCAAGAGGACAGTTCTGGCCTCGGTTCAAGTTTTGCAATTAAAACAAATCAAATGTTGAAACTTCATGTATTATTCTGACCATTAGATGTTTTATGATATTATAAAACGTTTGAGAAAAATTATATCAAATGTGTACACTACAAAATGGAATTGTGTCGATTTCAGAAGGTTTTTCCAGCAAAATCAAATTTTAGCTCTACGTTTGTGGATAGCATACAGCAAGTGACACTTTCAGGAATCTCTTGAAAGGCTTTCAATAATTTAATGATTTTCAAGCAGGTAATGCATTAGAAAATTCTGTCCCTGTCCATAAGTCCTTTCACATCAAGAAATTGCTCGGAGAGCAAAGCAATGAAATGTCCTTAATGGCAACATTAACGTGCTCCAATGATATGCAGCAGTTTGGATTGATGCTTTTATGGTTGAAACCTTCAAATGCGAATAAAATGTCATTACTTCAACCGCTCCCTTAAAAAGATTGGCAGATGGATTAAAATTATACCTTGATCACTTACAACACTTTGCAAATAAGGGAAAGTAATAACAAGAATACCTTAAAATGCCATCAAGCAATATTTATAATGCATCAAACAAAAAAAAACGTAACAAATGTAACCTTATGTAATGCAATTACATTGGTTGCAAAGATAGGGCTGCGAGGTCTATGTGGTACCCACCTTCAGGTAAAAAAAATAAAATAACTTGTGTCCAATAAATACCCGGTCCCCGAGACGCATTCCATCATTCGCTATTCAGTAGCAAAACCCTTCCCATTTTCATCCCACTTGGCTATTAAAATTCGTGCTCAACGTGGGGTGGGGTGGAGGGGGGGAGCAACAAAAAAAATACCTTAAAAGAACCTTGCAATAGCTCAAGATGTCTGATGAACCTGATGGGTTGAGTTCAGCCCAAATGCTGTTGGCTTTTTGAGGACATGTAAATCCCCCCCTCCCCTCCCCCCCACCACCAAAAAAAACAGCACAGGGTGACATCGTGCAATAGATAACAGAAGATGAAACCCTCAAACGCAATCCGCGAATCCGAGTGGCAACCCCGACATCGCCTCGGATCGCTTGCAAATGAAAACCACCTGCATCTGCTGTGCTTCTCTCACCCCCCCCCACCCCCATCCCCACCATCCTCTCCCCCCCCCCACCATCCTCTCCCCCCCCCACCATCCTCTCCCCCCCCCCACCATCCTCTCCCCTCCCCACCATCCTCTCCCCCCCCTCACTCCACCACCCCCCACCATCCTCTCCCCCTCCCCACCATCCTCTCCCCCTCCCACCATCCTCTCCCCCCCCCACCATCCTCTCCCCTCACCCACCCCCCCACCATCCTCTCCCCCTCCCCACCATCCTCTCCCCCCCCACCATCCCTCCCCCTCCCCACCATCCTCTCCCCCCCCACCATCCTCTCCCCCTCCCCACCATCCTCTCCCCCCTCACTCCACCACCCCCCCCATCCTCTCCCCCTCCCCACCATCCTCTCCCCCTCCCCACCATCCTCTCCCCCTCCCCACCATCCTCTCCCCCCCCACCATCCTCCCCCCCCTCACTCCACCACCCCCCACCATCCTCTCCCCCTCCCCACCATCCTCTCCCCTCCCACCATCCTCTCCCCCCCCTCACTCCACCACCCCCACCATCCTCTCCACCACCCCCACCATCCTCTCCCCCCCCCACCATCCTCTCCCCCCCCACCATCCTCTCCCCCTCCCCACCATCCTCTCCCCCTCCCCACCATCCTCTCCCCCTCCCCCATCCTCTCCCCCTCCCCACCATCCTCTCCCCCCTCCCCACCATCCTCTCCCCCTCCCCACCATCCTCTCCCCCCCCCACCATCCTCTCCCCCCCCACCATCCTCTCCCCCCACCATCCTCTCCCCCTCCCACCATCCTCTCCCCTCCCCCCCACCATCCTCTCCCCTCCCCACCATCCTCTCCCCCCCCACCACCATCCTCTCCCCCCCACCACCATCCTCTCCCCCCCACCACCATCCTCTCCCCCCCCACCATCCTCTCCCCCCCACCACCATCCTCCCCCCCCCACCACCATCCTCTCCCCCCCCCACCATCCTCTCCCCCCCCACCATCCTCCCCCCCCCACCATCCTCTCCCCCTCCCACCATCCTCTCCCCACCCCCCACCATCCTCTCCCCCCCCCACCATCCTCTCCCCCCCACCACCATCCTCTCCCCCCCACCACCATCCTCTCCCCCCCCCTCCTTGCATGCAGACAGCAAGAAAAAAAAGAACAACACGTTTGGGTAAACAACCCCCTTCTCTCTCCCCCCCACCCCCCTCTCTCCCCCCCCACACCCCCCCTCTCCCCCCCAGACGATGGATGCGATGCGCTTACCGTCAGAGCTCCCCAGTTCATGGTGGCCGCAGACCAGGCTGCGAGCGGCGAGAGAAAGCACCACAGCCACCCCACAGCTCCCATGGCTGCGGCGGCGACACACACACACACACACACACAGAGAGAGGAGAGGACAGGACAGGCGCGGGTGAGCGGGTGAGAGGCTAAGTCAGAGCCTGTCCGCGGCGGCGGCTGCCGGTGCTGATGGTGAGGGCGGCCCTCGCGGGAGCGGCGGGGCAGCCGCGGCTCGCACTCTGCCTCACGTCGCCGTCGCCGCCGTCGTCGCCGCCGCCGCCGCCGGCGGGTGGATGGGGCGAACCGCCCGCCGGGCCCCGCATGGTGCCGCTGCCCGGGCTCCCGGCACTGACCCCCCCCTCCCCTCCCCTCCCGCGCTGTGACTACAGCGGCACTATCCCCCCACACACCCCTCTGTAACTGACTGACTGACTGGGACTGACTGACTGACCCTCTCCCCCTCTCAACTGCTGCGGCTTCACAGGAACCAACAGCTCCACCACTGCGGGAACCTGACCGCGGTGACCAAGTTGACCGGAATCAGGTAATAGGGGAGAAGCGACTGCTCGTCAATATCAAACACTGTTATTCCCATCGCTCCACCTGCCGTGCGCTGACTGCCCTGCCCGCCCTGCCCTGCCCTGCACTCACTGCCCTGCCCTGCACTCACCGCCCTGCCCTCACTGCCCGCCCTGCGCTGCTCTCACTGCTGCCCCCGGGGAGGAAGTGAGCGATTCTCGGACCGGCGGCGCTGCCTCTCCGCTGTCGCAGTGAGAGGGGAGAGAGAGGGGGGGGGGGAAGGAGTGCGCGTGCGCACCGCCGTTGCCGGCACCGCGCGCCCCGTCTCCACGCGCTCCTCGGCCAATCAGAACCTTTGCGGCTTCGCCTCGTCCCCGCCCCGTCGGCATCACGTGACCTCGCGCTGCTGCTGCTGCTGCTGCTGCTGTTTCCTCCTCCTCCCCTCACACCTGCTGCACTGTCACTAACACACAGATGCTGCAATGCTCTTTTTATTTGCGGCACTGTTACCCTCTCACTCCACCCGCCCCCCCCCCACCACCACCACCACCACCACCCCTCAACGCTCTCTGTACTTGTGCACTGTTCCTCTCCATTACACACACACACACAGGTCCTGTCATGCTCTTTGTTCTTGCTGCATTGCTACTCTCTCACCCAGACACCGAGAGCATTGCAGTGTGTGTGTATCGGTAACGGCACAGCAAACACCGAGAGCATTGCAGTGTGTGTGTCGGTAACGGCACAGCAAACACCGAGAGCAGATGTTACTGACACACACACTGCAATGCACTCGGTGTTTGCTGCACTGTTACTGACACACACAGATGCTGCAATGCTCTCTGTACTTGCTGCACTGTTATTCACTCATACACAAACACAGGCACTGCAGTGCTCCACGTAGCTTACCATTGAGATCCCTGTCTAGCAAGCTTCCTGCTGCTTGTCCAACGAGGACCAACCTACCTGTTTGGGTTTTGGCCTGGAGACTAAGTCTTGGCTTGGAGACTGCGTCCTCCCAACGTAAAAGGTGCTATACAAATGTAATCTTGTTGACGTGGTTGAGTGGGAAGAATCCCTACTCCCAATCTACCCCTCCAAGCCATGCTGATGGGCCAGGCTGGCTGGTCTGCCATCAGTGTTGCTGACCTGCCCGGCTGAGGAATCTGATTACTGATCACAGAGGACTGACTTCAACATTTCGCTGCCAAACAAGTCACAGGTTTCAAGCGTTTCCCTCTTCCCTGAGGAGGACAGTCACTAATTGGTCATTTTAGAGTCTTGTAGCTCAGTGGTTAGAGCACGGCAAGTGAGACACCTGGGTTCAATTCCAGGCAGGGTGAAACCCAGGGCAAGTTTCCTTACGCCTAATAATAATCCCTCCAAAACAAAAAGCAATAATAAATTGGTCATTTTCAGTCCACGACTATTTGTGGGACACTGCTGTGCGTAATTGGCTGCCACGTTTTGCCCACAAATATACTTTGCAGCATATTCTGTGAAACGCTTTGAGATGTCTAGAAGACGTGAAAAGCGCTCTGAGATGCTCCAGCGTGGAGGGCGCTATGTAAATCCAAGTTGTTGTTGAAAAGCGCTATATTAAATGCAAGGATTATTATTATTATTTGACATCTAACAAGTGCATATTTGAGCCCTCACTACAGACGTCTTGATGTTGTAGAGGTCCAAATCCAATGCTGCATACCAGGCTTGCTCAGCACCAACTTCTTAATCCAGGTCTACATCTGAGGAACTTTGGCAAAGATGCGTGCCCACCATGAAGCCGACTGCCACCTCCAGTCAGAGGAAATAGGTGGGGGCAGAGCTGAGACTGCCCCCGCTAGCAACTTTTAGGTATATGTATGGCACCCCAAACCTCCCACTCCTCTCATCCTGTCGATCTCCGTGGTGGCTCATAACATTGTGAGGGTCATCATGAGAGTTACAGGAACAGAGGCAGAGCAGCAGGTATAAGGCAGTGCAGAGAGCGGCACCACTAACATCCCATTATCAATTTCACAGGACTGGAACCTTGGTATCTTGTTTGACCCTCAACTATCCTTTCTATTCCACTATGACCTACTCTGCCTTCCCCCACCTCCGCAACATCGCCAGGCTCCGCCACTTTTTCGCGCCGCAGGCTACCGAAACCCTTGTACATGCTTTCATTACTTTGAGGCTTGACTATGCAATCTCATTGCTTGTCGGCCTCCCCAACTCCTCCCTACATAGACTGCAGATCAGCCAGAACTCTGCAGCCCGTGTTCTCTCCCGCACCAGGCTCTGAGACCCTATCACCCCCATCCTTGCCCAACTCCACTGGCTTCCCATCACACAGAAGATACCGTTCAAAATCCTGGTCCTCACCTTCAAAATCCTCCATGGTCTTGCTCCCCCTACCTCTGTGACCTCCTAACCCCCTATCATCCTGCCCGCTCCCTCCGCTCAGCGGGCTCCAGCCTGCTTCACGTCCCCCACCTCGCTCGCCGCACTATTGGCGGGTGGGCCTTCTGCCACTCTGCCCACACCCTCTGGAACTCCATCGTGCAGGCACGCCCCCTCCCTTGCCTCCTTCCAGACCCATCTCAAGACCCTCCTCTTCGACCATTCTTTCGATCACCCTTCTTTTCCCCCTGCTCTCCACCCTCGCTGATCCCAACCCCCAGCTCCGGTCTGAAACTCTGCCTGTCCAGCACCTTGGGGCGTCCTCCCGACGTGAAAGGCGCTATACAAATGTAATTTTGTTGTTGTTCTCTGCACTTTCTGCTGCACTTTACTGATACACACAGAGATCCTACAAATTGCTAGCTGTGCTTTATTGACACACACACACGCACACTACAGTATCTGATACACTTTACTTTCTCACACACTATTCTCTGTACCTGTTGTACTTTACTGACACATATTCATGGATGCTTCAGTCTTCTCTGTACCTGCTGCAGAAGCAATGTATCTGTTGGATTTTCTTCCAAAGGAAACAAAAAAGTAACTTTTTAAAAAACAAATTACAGTATTGCCCATTTTAACTTTGTACATTGTTATGTTTTTGTTATAATGTTTATTTCAAATGGAACATTTCATCCTTTTTTTATTATTGCATGAGAACAAGTTTGAAGGCAAAAAGTCAAGGCTTTGCTCTTGTATTGGTAGAGGGTGGAGAGGATTAGTTTCAATTTCATTCAGAATAAGCTGTAGTATTTGGTTTAAACAATACTTAAAACACCAAAAAGAGCAAAGAGGTTTTTTGGGGTCAGACAGGTGTCTGACATGTGGAAATCTATTACAATGAGAATATTCAAATCCAGCTCAGAGTTTCACGTATGTAATTAGCTGATGAGCGCTGAGGCTTCAGCTGCTGGAAGATATTACCTGGATTCCGGGTTTGTAAACACATGCTCATATATCCAGGGCTCACAATCTGCTTTAATTGGCTTGTAGAAAGCTGTTGTTGGAAATTCTGCGTTTCCATCCTCTGCCATCCCTCAATGGGTAGCATTTCATACTGAATTGTGCTGCTCATAAATAGGTTTGCAAGGAGTTTCTGGTATCTGCTATACATTTCAGTGCCGTGGGATGTCCTCCCGATGTGAAAATCTCTATATAAATATATAATGCATCTAATTTTGTATTTTATTGGCTCAAATCTGTGCTTGTTGGACGTCTAGTGACCAAATAGTGACCTTGGAGCCTCCTAGAGATGTGTGTTTGGGGGTGGAGAGTGGTACACGGGTGTCCTTGTGCCTGAAGTGGCTCCAAGGTGCCTGGCAATGAAATATCAGAATTAAGTCAATGCTTTGTTGTGGTCTCAGTTGTCCGGTTCCTGAGACAGACTGATTTCTAAGGCATTGTCATGATCCACCAGCCAACCTATTTGTTGGCAAGACTTGGAGAGATGGACTAATCAATGAACTGAGCCAAAGCCCTAAAGGGGATGGAGATTTCAGCTGGACAGACAATACATGCCTTGCCAGACTTCATTATCTGTTGTAAACATCCCCAAATTAAGCATTAACATGTCTTTTATTTCCAATTTCTACCACTCAGAGATTCTTAGTTTATTTTAATAGATTATTAGATTTCTTGTATTTAGCTCACAGCCAAATAATGTTTAGTTTAATACAGAAATTCAGCCCTTTTTCCACTTTTCAAAAAAGTATAAATAAATTGTTAATGTTGATATAAACCTATAATGGCTAATATTTAGGACGATGAGGAACTTGGCCTCTCAGCAGATATGGATGGGCTGGTCTCCAGGAATAATTGAACGCTGCAGGAAGCATTAAATATGTGGATTCGGAAGATCACATTTCATGAAGGTAATAAAACATAATATCATTTGCTGCATTATTAATAAACCTAGTTCAATGTTTTTTAATATGCAAGTGGCTCCAATAAACAATAGAATATTGTAATCGAGTTGATCTTCAATAGCAATCTGGGGCACATTGATGACTAGCCAGCCATCCCGGTTCATGAGCAGGACTTGGAGGATCAAACCAGTTACTGGAGGCTGTAATTATTCTGACTCAGCTCCTGTTAACCCTGCAAGCTCTGAAGGGTAGAACAGAACTCGTTGAATATGCATC